ATCTCCAGAGCTTTCTTCTAGTACCTGAAAAGCTTTAGTTTCAGATTTTTTTGTTAGATTTTAAAGCTATGGACTTACCTTTCTTCTGAGGCTCATCTTCTTCAAGCTCTATCTCATGGCTTCTTAAAGAACTGATGAGTTCCTCCAGAGTGATTTTGTTCAGATCTTTTGAGAGCTTTAACGCTGTGACCATAGGTCTCCACCTCTTTGGTAAACTTCTAACTATCTTCTTTACATGATCAGAAGTGGAGTAGCCTTTGTCAAGAACCTTCAATCCAGTAGTCAGAATCTGGAATCTAGAAAACATGGTTTCCATAGATTCATATTCCTCCATCTTGAAGGCTTCATATTTTTGAATCAGCGCTAGAGCCTTCGTTTCTTTCACCTGCGTGTTTCCCTCATGTGTCATATTCAAGGACTCAAACATGTCATGAGTTGTATCTCTATTGGTGATTTTCTCATATTCAGTATGAGATATAGCGTTCAGCAGAATTGTCTTTGCCTTGTGGTGATTCCTGAAGTCTTTATTTTGTTGACCAGTCATTGATTTTCTATCAATCTTTTTACCTTCACCATTAGTGGGGTGAATGTATCCATCAATGACTATATCCCAGAGATTAGCATCATAGCCAAGAAAGAAGCTTTCGATTCTGTCCTTCCAGTAATCGAATTTTTCTCCATCAAACATAGGAGGCTTTGTGTTGATTCTGTCTTTCTCTTCATATTTGTTGTTCAACCCAGCGTTAGCGTTGTTTGAAAATTCATCCATAGTAAATCAAAGATTTTTCCAACCAGATCTTTTCTCTGTCACTGTTAAATGATAGCACTCGGAACCAGGCTCTGATACCACCTGAAGGAAGGAAAACACTAAGAGGGGGGTTGAATAAGGGTTTTCTAAAACAAATAAGGCAATAAAAATAACAGGTACTTTTATACTGGTTCGTTTGAACTCAAACTACTCCAGTCCACCCGGCCAAGGTGATTTCGCCTCTTTCAAAAGAGGACTTAATCCAATAATCAAAAACTGATTACAATCTTTTCACTAAGACAAACTTGTCTTAGTCTTCTCGAGAATACCGACCAAAACTTGGTCTCTCAAGGATCTTTTACAAAGTAATACAATAAAGTGTGTTTAAGTGCTTCTTAGAAAAGCTTTTTCACAACAGTGATTTTACACAAATGAAGATCAATGAAACTTTCTATTTGTTAATATGAAGTTGACTTGGAAGTGATAGCAAAATAGAATTTTCTTTTCAGCAAAGTAGTATGTTCGTTGTAGAATAATGTTGTGTGTGTCTATTTGAATTGTTGTTGAAGACTTGTTTAAATACTTCACACCCATTTCTCAAATAGCGTGCAAATGCTTTTTTGTCTTCTTTGACTATTTCTTTCCAGGAGAGGAATGTTCAGAGATATCCTTTTTGTTCTGAAATCCTGTCCCATACACAAAAGAGGAATAGTGTCGTTGGATGTAGACAATAAATTTGGCAACGAATCTTTCTTGATCAGCATCTTTTTAAATGAACGAATATGGAAATATTTTCTGCATCAGATCCTCTAATGATGTTCCATTTTCTTCTTATCAGAGTAACTCTCTTCCAGAGTTCTGCAGCTTAGTGCTAGCGTGATTGTTTTAACAAACTGTTCATCCAGAGGAGCGCTTTAGATCATAGCAGATCTTCGCTCTTACGTGTTATCCAAATGTATCACTTTGTTACTAATGTTTCAGAGCCTTACGTGTTTTGATTCTCAGAGCCTCTGCAGTTGCAGCGTTGAGTTTAGTACGATCAGAGTTTTCTGAATCTTCGCTTTATACTCTACGCTCAGAGTCTTCTGCGTGTTGTAGCTTAACGTTCAGAGGAATATTCCGTTCAGAGGAATATTTATTATGTTATCTGAAATAAAAACACTTGAACAAAATTAGAGTATATATTTTCTCCATACAAAATTTCATTATTGTTATCATCAAAACATTGAGATATATTAAGAACCAATCTGTGTTCTAACAAGAGGTTATTTTTTTATTCTTGTATACTTATAATCTTGTTCTAAGAGAAAGGAAAGAATAGCAGTTTAATAATCAATCCTTGTTGTTTTCTTCTTTATTAACCCTAACCCTTGTGTGTTTCTTGATCATTTAGAAATTGTTTATACTTAGTTTTAGGGTATTTGATTCACAACAATATACATGCAACTCAAATTCCTGTAACCTTTTCCATAAGCATTGTTCAACCTTACATACACACCCCAAAGCTCTGTCACTATAACTTGGCAATTGCCAAGTTTTTTTCAAAGCCACCTCTCCATCCTCCCTCATTATCGCAAAAGAGACCTCCATAACATGACATCCTAATCCTCATCACTACTTCATATATTTTTTAGCCAAATTCAACCATACTCTAGTGGAATCTAACTAATTTGATGTGTTTTGTTGATCCTCTTTCAAGCTTGATTCGACAACTTCATGTTTTCTTGGTATAAGTGAAACTGCTTCGTTATGTTTGAACTTAGATTATTTGGAAGAGCATAATCATCCTGTTCTTTTTTATTCATTTAGTACCACAACATATGACAGACTATAGTCCATAATGATATCCAGCTATGGCCTATATTTTGCTCTAGATTAAGGTAAAACACACAAATTAAACTTATGAGACCTTTAAAATATCAAAGTACAATTTCTTGATCATTTAGAAATTGTTTATACTTAGTTTTAGGGTATTTGATTCACAACAATATACATGCAACTCAAATTCCTGTAACCTTTTCCATAAGCATTGTTCAACCTTACATACACACCCCAAAGCTCTGTCACTATAACTTGGCAATTGCCAAGTTTTTTTCAAAGCCACCTCTCCATCCTCCCTCATTATCGCAAAAGAGACCTCCATAACATGACATCCTAATCCTCATCACTACTTCATATATTTTTTAGCCAAATTCAACCATACTCTAGTGGAATCTAACTAATTTGATGTGTTTTGTTGATCCTCTTTCAAGCTTGATTCGACAACTTCATGTTTTCTTGGTATAAGTGAAACTGCTTCGTTATGTTTGAACTTAGATTATTTGGAAGAGCATAATCATCCTGTTCTTTTTTATTCATTTAGTACCACAACATATGACAGACTATAGTCCATAATGATATCCAGCTATGGCCTATATTTTGCTCTAGATTAAGGTAAAACACACAAATTAAACTTATGAGACCTTTAAAATATCAAAGTACATAATTAAAAAATAAGTGCAAAAACGTGATGGTCAGTCAAGTCACAATTGACAAATGTTTAAACAAACGTTAGAATACTTTTATTATAGCTAAGTGATCTGACCTGATCAGAAGGGGACCAAGGACTTGCCATACGTCGTTGATCTGTCGCCTGTTCACCGGTGTTGAAAAGGAGATAGGGGGAGTGTACCTGCGAGACACTCCAATGCCAAAGTAAGAGTTTGGACAGAGTGAGAGCAAATACAGAAAAGGGATAAGAAGTGAATACCTGACCCTCTTGTGAAAGAGGGTATTTAAGAAAATTGCATTTTTATTAAATAGTGTTTTCAATTGTAAAATCGAGGTTACAGAAAATAAAAGATTCAAAAACACAAACATAGAATATAAAAGGAGAAACAAACGAAGACGAAAAATCAAAAACAAAAAATCAAAATTAATTTGTTGAGAGTGGGATTTGAACCCACACCCTTTCGGACCAGAACCTTAATCTGGCGCCTTAGACCAACTCGGCCATCTCAACTTGTTGTTTATTTGTTCTCCAAACAGCTATCTAACAATATAATCAAATAGCACTTTTTGATGTTAAAGTGAACCCAATTGTTTGAGACATGCTTATGACACTGCTTCCTATACTCTCTAGTCCCTACCCTTCACACTTTTTTGACTTATTATCATTCACTCTGTAGTACTCTACCAACAATCAAAAACATGTTTCTTTCATATGTGTTGTCCTTCATTAATCATTAACTATAATATCACACTTTCATGAACCCACCAATTTCATCAACCAATACATGCAGCATCAGCATCAGAGAACAACAACAAAAAAACAGTTCCTTAAGATTCCCCTACACTCTTTTTACTATTTACTTACCCTTTTGCTATGCATCATTGCTTTTAAACATTTTTCATCTAAAGTTTCAAGTAACCACTCACTTAATATTCAAGTTTCAATCTTAAATTATAAATTCACAATGATTCATTATGTATAATTTGAACATTAGACTAAGTTATAATCAACTAAACACACTTTACTTACTTCATCCCTAAGAATTTCTCTATTCTTCCAACCCTTTCTTTCCCTACAATTCCATAACATTATTATTACACTCTCAGGACAGGACCTACCACTTGTACTTAATCAAAGACCTCTCTAGTGGAGCTCAAACTAAAGGCCTCTAGAGAATATACAAACTATCATTGACATGTCTTGAAAAATGTTTATGTCAGTGTCAAAAACCAATATAACACTTGTCATTACGTTTAATTTGTTCTTTTAATAATTATCGGTATCGACGTGTCATGTTTTTCAGTATTCGTGTTTCATAGTAGACAAGAGATAAAGATAAAGGAAGAAAAGTTTAGAAGAAAAATATTAGTAAATTTTTTTGCATATTCTCCTCAATTCCTAGTAACTAAGATTCTAACTCATACTCATATACCAGTGTTTTTTTCTTAATACTTTTTAGTGTTTACTTTTATGCTAAAGATACCTCAGATTCATTCATGTGCTCCACAAGGTAAAACTTCTTATCAACTTTGTCTTGTAGCATCACAGTTTTATATGCAAGCTGTGAGATAAAAAAAAGTTCCAATTATAAAAGTTATGACCCCACCACCACTACCACTTCTTATACACCCTTTTTAAGTTTCATTATTCTATCATCAACCTCCTCATAACTCTCTCCGAAAACACATTTTTCTCTCTCAGACACATTCATTAACACCTTCAAAAAGTGTCCATAATTAAGATTTTTAGCCATCATCATTTATGGCTTCCTTTTGGTCATTCTCAGCAGTATTCATTGCTTTAATGATATCATGCAGTTGCTCGTTGGCTTCTGCGAAAGACATGCATGTTTCTGTAATCTCAGCAGCACCAAGTGTATTACCAGAAGCTCCTACCTTTTCTCCTACGCTGTCACCAGATATGGAGCCACTGTTTCCTTCCCCCGGACGAGCTGCTTTTTCTCCGTCCGATTCTTCACTACCAACAATTCCTTCAAGTCCTAGCCCTCCAAATCCAGACATCTCAACTCATCAAGGGCCTGGTTCAGTTTTTCCACCGTCCGAGTCCGAGTCTACATCTCCGGCTTTAGCTCCTTCTTCTCAGGGTGCACCTCTCCCGATATTGTCATTTTCACACCTTGCTGTAATCTTAATTTGCATAATTCAGCTTCATGGCATGTGAGTACATGTTGATGTTTGTTTCTGTTTATGTTCCAAAAGCATGTACTATAATTATTCCAAAATCTAAGACTAGCTAGTGAACATTTCAAGTATCTGTCATATGAGTAATTTGAATGTAGAAACAATAAATGGAGAGAATTTTTTGTCATTGTTCTATGATATCATTTCAGATAGATAGCAACTTATGTCATGAGATGTGATAGAAAACATGAGGTGTATAAAACTTTACTCTAACTTTTTCAGTGCATATTACTTTTTTTAGTATAATGAATTGTGTATTCTTTTTAAATCACTTTAAAATGAGGAATATACCATAGATTTTAGGAATGAAGGGACAAAACAGTATTTATTTATAAAGACCATTGTCTTTAGCAATCAATTGAACAATGAATGCTTTCCTATGTGACAAAAAAGAAGCTTTTAATGACTCTGCTTCTTTTTGTGCACTTTGCATTAAGATATAAGCCATGAAAAGGAGAGAAAAGTAACACAATTGGAATATTGGTAAAAATGATTTCTCAAGAAAGTTCTAACACATGTATCTACTTATCTTTATACTATTGTTTTAAAGAACTACTACTATAGTATTTTTAATTTTTGAACCATATCTAGAGAGCTACAACACTTGGCTTATTCCTTCTAGGACCTCCCTTAAACAACTTGCCTGAGAATGTTTCGACTAGTTTATTGAACTCGAATGGTGTCTTCCATTTCTTGGCAGATTCCTTAGCGATGAAGCTTTTCATCTTCACGGTCTCTTGCTTCAGCAAATCTATTGTTGAACTCAGTTGTCTTATCACCTCTATCTTCTCTTTGTCTTTTCGCTTGAGATCGGCCTTCTGTGTCTTATTCTGTTCTCTAAGACTTTCCCTCTCTTCCTTCAACATCGTTATTTCATCGTGAATGGTGTCTTTATGCTTGAGTTCATTGTTTTGAGCTTTATTCTCTTCCTTGTGTCTTTCTAATTCTTTCCTCAATTTCATTACTTCATTGCAAATGCTATCTTTCTTCTTGAGTTCTTCCTTTTGAGCTTCATTCTCTTTTCTGAGTCGCTCTATTTCTTCCCTCAACTTCATTACTCCATTCTTATAGGTATCTTTCTTCTTGAGTTCTTCCTTTTGAGCTTCATTCTCTTTTCTAAGTCGCTCTATTTCTTCCCTCAACTTCATTACTTCGCCGCGAATGGCATATTTCTGATGAACTTCATTCTTCGCTTTGTTATCTTTCTTGAGTTTCTCTATTTCTTCCCTCAAATTCAATACTACATCGTTAAAAACGATATCTTTCTGCGCGAGTTCATCTTTATGTGCTTCATTTTCTTTTCTGATTCGTTCGATTTCTTCCCTCAACATCATTACTTCATCAAGAATCTCATCTTTCTGCTTGATTTGATCCTTATCAATCTTCTTCACTTCACCAACTCTTTCAATGTCTTTCAACAACTTCATCACTTCATTTGGAGCCGCAAACCGAACTTCCCCTTCATGCTCAGGATCATCAATTTCCGATTCCACAGATTCCTCCACATCACAATTCTCAGAATAGCTATCATAACCACGATAATCAAAACTCATCAACTTCTCTGATTGAGAATGCTTCAAGCAAGCAGAAGGAGGAAGCAGGCGAGTTCCAGCTTCAGGCCGAACTTGATCATACCGCTCAGCTAACAAACGGTGAATCTTGTAGAAATCTTCAACCATGCTCACAAGCTCCGGTCTCTTCTTGTAAAACATCTCAGCTCGTTGAGCAAACGAATCCGCATCTTCTTCAATTAACTTTAACATTGCCTTTGTCTTCTCATTCAGCTCTGCCACAAAACAAACACACACATATCACTTAATAATCATCATGTTCTATATCAAAACTTTAGTTGTTTCGCCCTTCACACTGAAACTAATCCTATTCGAAACACTGTGGATTGTTAAACAATAAATATAAACACCTCTTCTAACCATAATTCAATCTAATAAGCAACATGAAAAGAAGAATAATCGGTGAGGATAGGTCAGTCATATCGGTGAGGATTACTCAATTTCATTTGCCTAATTCTTCAAAAAAATGAATTTTAAACAGAAAATCCATTGAATAAGAGAAAGGAAAAGAAATGGAAACCATACCAGTGAGTGTAGATTGAAGCCATGGTGATCTTCTAACGGCGGTGTGCTCATCAAGCCACCACCAGTGTGTCTTTGACGGCTGATTCTTCATAGTAACTTCAGTCATCTTCTTCTTCTTCCTCACTGTTTTTTTTTTACCTAGATATCACCAACAACATAAAAACATATTATAAAACAACAAATAAACAGCAGTGAATTCCATAAACGAAATAGCGGAGTCACTATTAAGATAAGGACTAAACGTTAGCAGATCCTAGGCGTAAAATTTCTTTTTCCATAAATAAAAAGTGAGTCAAAAAATTGAAAAAATGAAATAAATGAAGATAATAAATAAGTTTGAAAAACACAAAAAAATATGAAATTTTGATGAAGAGACAAATGCATGCACCGACTTATCCACTGACATCGCCTCTACGTTGTTTACAACGTTAACTCAAAGACAAAAAACATGAAAGGAAACAAAAAAATAAAAATGGGAACTTTTTTATTTTCAAGATTTTAATCGTTAACCGAGTTGATGAAAACTTGAAGAATTGGTAGCAACATGAAGAAGAAGAAGTGAAAAAAAGACGAACTTTGCAAGGCCCATTTTGAATTGAAGAAGAAAAACAAAGAAAAAACACTCACCTTAACAAGTTGAAGCAAATGTAGAGAGTTATGTTTGGTTTTGATTTTGGTTGTTTTATAGAAGAAGGTTGAACCAATTATGCTGTGACACGTGTAATTGACAAATAGTACAACCAAGGTTGAGTGAGTGAGTAACTGAAGAGTTACTAAGATTCAAATTTGATGAAATGTTTGACTGAGGTGTGAGGGGGTTTCAAATTCTAGAGGGTGGGAAATGTAGGTGTGTTTTGTGTGGATGGTGATTAGTATTATTAATTAATTGGGTTTATAGTTAATTAAAATTGTGATTATGAAGTATAGTAGTATATAATGTAAGAAGAAAATGAAAATGAAATGTGTATGCTTATATACAAAATTTGATATATATGTTGGAATCTCCTAGTCAAAATATCACTATAAAGTTTCATATATTAGTCAAAAAATTCCATCTATATAATATATGCTTAGATTTGGAGCATCTTCTTTAAATAAAAAAAATTATACTTTAATTGCATTTATTTTATTATTTATTTTATTTGTGTTTATATATATATATATATATATATATATATATATATATATATATATATATATATATATATATATATATATATATATATATATATATATATATATATATATATATATATATATATATATATATATATAAAAGGTTTAAATCTTGATAATAATCTGAAAGATTATCGTTACCTTAATTAACAAACGGAGATTAAAACTCAAGAACACTTTAATAAAATGGTAAGTGACTTTTTTCACTTTATCAAAAGTTTTAAATATGAATTTAGTATCCAACAATGTTAAATTCTCTTAATTTTTTTTTTGTTGTTCTTAATTCTTTATAACTCGAAAGACTAATCCATATAATTGTGCGAATAAGATATTTAATTTATCTATGTAATTAGAAAAAATATGTGGAGATTAAAAAAAAAAGTAAAAACAAGAACAGAGGATACTTAGTTTATCTAATTAAATTTTTTTTTAAGATCGTAAAAACAAGAACATAAATTAGAATGGAGATTGAAATTTTATTATGGTCAAAAGTTTAAAAAAAAAATTAAAAAAAAAGCAAAGAATGTTTTAAGTCTATAATAAAATATAATAGTAAAATTTTGGTTAAATATATTCAGTCGCCAATTTTGTATGATTAACGAAATTAATTATTTTATTTTAAATTTAAACAGTTTTGATGTTTTCAAATAGTTTTAATTTTTCTTATATTTTTTTTATAAAATAATCGATAAAATTTGTTTTAATTATGATTTATTTACAAAGTTGAATAATATATTTATATACAATAATTTGTATATTTTACAAGTAACTTTGTCATTTAAAAAAATAAAAACATCGTTAATTTTAATTATAAAACTATTGAAATTTAAAATGTGATCAATTTTGTGAATCAAATAAAATAGAAGGATTGTAATTAAACTTAATAATAATAATAATAATAATAATAATTAATAATAATGGTAGCTAGCAGTTGCTTTATTCCTTAAAACATGAATTTGAATATGTACATAAACATATTTTGTATATCTTCTAGTCAAACTTCAAATTATCAAGCTAATTTTTGTGGTAATAGAGAGTTACTACAAAACAAACTATATTCTTTAATTTGTTAATTTAAGATTTTGTTACATCAATTAAAAAATAATTTAATTAATTAATTTGTATTAAAATATCATTAGTTTTTAATATAACTGTTTTCCTTTTTTAAATATAAATAATGTAAGTACTTCATCATAATCAATTTAAAATATATATATAATCTAAAAGTTGAAAAACAACTTCCTTTTTTTAAATGTAAATAATGTAAGTACTTCATTATAATCAATTTTTAAGAAACAAATAATCTAAAAGTTGAAAAACAACTGTCAAATTGTTTATATTCAATTTTTTAATTATTAATTATTTTAGGAAGAAAATTAAATATAAGAATAATCAAAGATATTTAGAATGGAGTAATAATAATACTACTTAAAATGATAAATTTCTCCACAAAAATAATTACAAGATTAATTTCACAATTATACATTAATAAAATAGTTACTGCAAAATATTATTAACTTTTTAAACTTTGACTTTTTTTTAATTAAAAAATTAATTTTGACATTCTATAATAAAAACATACATCATTGAATATCAAAATATAGCCGAAATCACAATTTTTTAAAAAAATTGTAGTTCAAAAATGATTTTTATGAAAAGCTACTTGAAATAGTTTTAAAATTAAGTGATTTTTTAAAATTTTGATATC